CTTTGCCCGAAGGCCTGGGGGCCAGAGGGGGGCCCGCACCTGTGGAGATGGCTGGTGGGATGATGGGTTGCCCCCCCCCCAGCATCTTACAGGTTTTTATAGGGCCAGAATTAGAGGAGGTTTTTTAGGGCATTTTTAATACTGTATGTTTTTAAATTATTTATAGTTTTTAGCCATCTTGGAGAGAATTGTGTTTTTTCTTTTTCATTGTGAGCCGCCCAGAGTCACCTGTGGGGGATATAGGTGGCATACAAGCCAAATAAATAAATAAATAAATAAATAAATAAATAAAGCAAGCATCTTTACTTCTCCTTTTCTATTGTATTGGTGTGCCAGTTACAATCCTACCTGGTAAGTGAGGACCTCACAACGAGTCACAATCTTATCATGATTTGCCTAGACTACTGTAATGCTGTCTACATGGGATGTTTGAATATCACATAGTTGTTTTGGTTTTTAAAAAAGAAGAAGAAACTTTTAGGTATTAGTTGTGAATTATCGATGTTTTCCCAACAATTTGCATCCTTATTATTTTTTAGGAGGATTTCATATGGTTAATTTGACTGCTCCAGCCTTTTAACCTAATAGCCAGAAGACTAATCATTAGATATAATGTCTTTTTCAAGTTGAACTTTACAGATACATCCATGCAATTTTCTTAGATACAGTATAAAAGTGGTTGGCCATTGCTTTCTTCCAAGATGTTTTTTACTTCCTAGCTTACACACCTGGATTCTTGGAGATTTCCCACTCAAGTACTAATCAGGCCTGATCCAGTTAGCTTCCAAGGCCAAATGTCAGCTGCTGCTTCTGCCTGCTGAGAATAGCCATGATATGAGCTATCTAGAAATGAAATGTTATTTTCTCTTTTTCAGATACTGAATGCCCAGAAAAGTTGTTTAATCTCGGGTTTTAGTGTAATGCCTTCTCCTCAAAACCACATCCACAGATGTTAGAAATCTAAAACAACATTTCTTAAAAACTAGAGAGAAACATTTCAAACCTAAAGGACATTTTTTTGAATGTGACTTGTGGCCAAACTGATCATCATGAAGTGGGACATCCGTTATGACTTTTTTTAAAACTTAAAAATAGCAGCAGGAGATTGATGCCTTAATTGGACTGGGTAATGATTAGTGTCCCTGCCCAGACACTTCCTTTTTGGAAGCAGCTCATTGCCAGTGGACGATTTTCTCTCAATGCAAAGAAGCAGAATGTTCATTAGGACCTCAGTAGGGGTTAAGTTCCATTTCCCTGCCTGTTGTGATCCCAGAAATAAAAAAATTCCCATGCAGGTTAAATAAAAACATGGAAAGTTTGGCCCTCTATTTTTTTATTATATTATCTGAATATGTTTTAAATACAATGTGAACATCTGGAATTATTTTGCTTAGTAAACAGACTACAGTCTTCCATAAGAACTCATTCTTATCATCATGACTTCTTCCAAAAAAATATCAGTTTCTCAAACTATCAGCCAGAGAGTGGGAATGGGGTTCTGTCCTTGAAAGAAAGTAAGCCACAATCACATTTCTTATCTAATTTTACATAATATATAGGGTAGAGTGCAAGTACAGATAAAGAAGAGGAGAAGGAGGAGGAGGAAGAAGAAGAAGAGGAAGAAGAGGAAGAAGAAGAAGGAGATTACCAAACTCATATTATAATAAGGATAATAAATTCATCTTAGGCAAATAGGAAGAGTCAATATCCCCAGTGACTATGGCCTGGAATCCACTTGACCAAATGGAAGTGGTAAAGGTGAGTATCTGAGGCTGTTGCTTCCACAGGACATTGATTAAAACCATCCAGTCTGAGTCAGCAGAGAAGAAATGTTAAGGAGTTACAGGCATTAACAGAGGTTTACAGCAAAGATATTTTCATGTCATCAGCTATCATAACCCATAGATATATCTAGTGTCATAAAAAGGCAGCTCAACATTTCCCTTTATCTTCCTCTCTAAAATATCAGAGATTGAGTGTGTGCATGTGCATGTGTATGTGTAAGTGGGTGTAAAACTACCAGGACTATTTTGTGTGCTACTTTGAGTGAGTTCCATGGAAATATAGCAGAATATCTATATTAGATGATCCGATACATTAAACAAACATCTATATTAAATTATCTTTTCTTCAGTAATAATAATTTTCTACTTATTCTCTTAATTGTTCAATGATATGAGTCTGTTATTGTTAATCTTGTGAGTACAGTATGTTAGTTTTGCAGTTTCTAGTTATTTGTGCTGAGCAAGCAAAACAAACAGAGTGGCGAGAGGCGAGGAAGACTTCAGAGAAGAGGACTTTCCTCACCGAACCTCTGAAACATATTCAGCAGCAGATGCTGTCATGATCAAGATGTTACAGGAACAATGGACATTACTATGGCTTACATAGTATCACAGTTGCTGCTGTATATGGGACAAGGTAGACAGCTCCCTTCACCTTAGCTCAGCATTAGTAGGTAAAACTTTGGCCTTTCCACACAGATAACGTACTTGCGGTTCTGTGCCACAGGTTTCAAATCTTGCATGTATCCGAAAGGTCAAGCCAACCACTTGTGCAGGGCAGGATGGGACTCCTAAATAGATTTTATTTCGCTCCAGCTGGGCCAATGACTGTGTGGGGATTTGGATCTGAAACTCTGTCCTTGTGCAGCTGACATTCATAGGGACAACTACAGAAGGAGAAACAAAACAACGAAGGGATCTTCTCTGAATTTACAGACTCATAACAAATAGCCAGCAGCAATCTCCAGAGTTAATGAGCATGGCACAACACTATCTAAAAAGCTGATGATGTCCTCTGTTGTAATCTAAAGTCCTACACAGGCACCAAACCACTATTTGACCCAACTTTAGAGAAAATAAAACCAACTTGGTCTATCATGCATACAGCCTACCATACAGCTCTTGCTACAACTCGCCATATAGTCTCCCATAGATTCCAGTACTTGGGAATCTACCTGAAATACATCAAGCCAGAGAGTTTTCTACTGACATTAGATTCTCTGGTTGTGACTGGGTTGTGAAATTGATTAGGAAATGGGTTAGGATAAGGGTTGGGATCTCATGATCTCTACTTTCCCCAAGGAATTGGGGGGCAGCAAAAGATTGCAGTTGTTGTTTTTAAAAACCTGACCAAATGTACATACATCTGTGTATGTCTTCCCAGTCAGAATATGGAACTTAGAAAGAAGCATAGCAGCCCTGCTGTGCTACTGATCCTCAGAAATTATGATCATCCCCCTTAGCAGCGACAGCATTAAAAAATCTATGTATGATAGGAATTTTCCCCTGGTGTCTTCCCTTTCAGTTTAACTGACATGTGCGAAGCTAGCAAGGCTGCAGACCCACTCCTAGAAATATCATTGTATAAGGAAAGACATTCATACACATCCCTTCTTGGACAAAGCATAAGTAAATGAGCACAAAAACACTTTGCTCCATCTGTGAGAATTTCTCCAAAATTCTTTTAATCTCTGAAGGGATATCTAAAGCAAATTCTCTCCACCAAATGGAATGAGAGCTGGTACAAAGAAATACATAATGTTTAGTATTTGCCCAGCATTACTCCAAGCATGTGACCTTCCTAGTCATTTCTGTTGCTCATATAGTTTTAATACCCTTCTGCTCATGGTCCAAACCCAACACATACAGTACTGGGCTGTCTTGTTCATCCTGTGCTCCAGTTATCTTTATCCATCTTGCTATACTGGAAAAGCTAGTCTTCATTACTCCAAGATTTAAAGTAAGAAGGTTGTCTGCTTCTGTTCTGATATACTAGCAGCCAACTTAGAATACTCCACTGATGTGCCTAGTCCTAGAGGAAAGACAGCCCTTTCAAAAAAACTAGATTTAAAATGAAGTTGTATGAAAGAACTGGAATATTTCATCAGAGTTTAATTACCCTAATTGTCTGGCAATAAGTATTTATGACATATTTTTTTCAAACAGTGGGACACATTATGAAAAATAGGTACTGGCTGGAACTAAAGTAGGGCAAGACAAAATAAAAGATGAATGTTCTTTGTATAACAAACACAATACAGGTAGTTCTTGTTTAGCGACTGCCTTGTTTAGCAACCATTCACAATTACGATAGTGATGAAAAAATAATTTTATGACTAATCCTCTCATTTCTGACCTTCGCAGGTCTGTAAAGCAAAGGAAAGCTGAAATAAGATCATAAGCACAGTCACAGTTTCACTTAGTGACTGCTTCATTTAACAACCAGGTTACTGGTCCCAATTGTGGTCACTAAGCAAGGAGTACCTGTAGTAAAATTAGACATCATTATTGTTATTAGTACTTTGCAATAGATATAATATCAGGACTGAGTCTGAATTAATATAGAAAAATAAGAAAGCAAAAAACCCCCCACCAATCTGTGTAAGGATGGCGAGAGAACTACTATCTAGATCAGACAAGGAACATTTCTGAACAGAGATTAACAGTTGATCTGATGGAGTTTTATACCACTGGCAGCAATAACGTAAGCAGACCATCCACTTAAAGGCCTGAAGATGAGGGACCAAGAAGCCAGTCAGACTTAGAAATATGTCTAGAATTTGTCTAGAATGTATTTTGATAGAAGTTTTGCCAGTTGTGGGCTCTGCTGTTGCTGCAGTGTTGAGAACTGGCAACCACAAGAAGGTCAATGAAGTCCAAAGAGTCTCAAAAGACAAATCAGGCTGAACTTCACATAATGATCTGAATTAACCAACTAAATGTTTGGCTACAGAGTACTTGCTCACCAATGTTTCTAGAGATTAACACCACTGCCAGAGAGATTATATGTATGGAGCAGCTACATTTATATTGAAGCAGTGTTTGGAAAAGTTTATTTCCCTTTGTGATTGGAGTTCATCTTTCAACACACAGTGAGAAATCTTGATATAACTTCAGTCTGTGATCACACCCTAGCACCAGTTTAAATTTGGCAGTATCAAAAGGAAGGTGCATTTCTAATCTGCTATTCATTTTTTGTGATAGTAGGTCCAGGGCAAAGGAACAGTTAATGCTGAGCTGATGCCTTCTGCAAACACATAGCAGAAGGGGCTTGGACTAGTCCCTTTGTGAGTACAGAGGCAAGAAATGACCACATACTCCAGGACTTCATACTCCAGCTAGAGTCAGTTTGGTCACATTGGGAGTAACAGTTAGTAGTTCCCCATTTCTGGGAGGCAAGAACAAATAGCCTCCCTCTTGAAATCAGATTAGTCTCCTTTCCAGATTTCATTCAGAAAAATGTTTAAAAAGGAGCTCTTTCATACAGTGTGTACAGTTTGAGATGATGCCACTGAAGTGTGTATGTAGAATAAATATGATCAAACATAATTCTTGTACAGAAATAAGGTGCAAATCCTGTCTTATACACTGGATATTTTAAACACCCTCAAAATACTAAGATTGCTGTATGTGTGGATGTAAAATTAGGACAGAAAAATAATAGACACTGAAAGTAGATGGTCCTGCCCATCTCAACCCAATTCTAAATATGCTAGAAAAATAAGGCAATCCAAGTAATGAAGTTGACTACATTTATGTTGAGTATCTCTGGAACTGCTCTCAGGGCCATAAAGCCACTGTTGGCTGGGCATTCTGCTGATGTGGGAAAAAAATCCACCCAATAATAATGCAATAAAATACTACAGTAAAAATAAAAGTGTATATGCTCAGCAAAATTGAAAATGCTCACAAAGATGCGGTTCCTGAAACAGTCAAGAAGGAGCTGAGTCAACACATTCTTGGCGACATAGAGTTGGGTGAAGGTGGGGAATTTTCCCACCAAAAAATTCAGATCTGGAATATTCCAAATGATACTTTTAAAAGGTTCTGATCCAAACTGGAGCTTTCTGATACCTTTAAGAGGTTGTTTATACATGTCAATGAAAAAAAAGTAAAAGTTGGCTGACACTTATAAACATGCAATGTATGAATTAGTTACTGTAGATTTCATTATCCCAAGTTCTGCGAGAGTTAGTTTCCATATAGCAGCATTTTGGAACCCTAGTGAGCTAATTATCTGCAAACTATTCTGCTTTTCTCTTGTTCCTCAAATTTTTATTTCATTCCACATAGTTTACCTGACAGTAGTCTTACCTCCAAAATATGCTACCAAGAAACCTCGGTTGGCTGTATTCCTGTCAGTGTGAAGGACCAACAGTAGCTTGTTTCTACTGGATATAATCGGAGATAGCATTTCTCTCCCACACCACTTTCCTAGCAGAGATGCTGTCTCAGTACCTCCATCAAACACAGCCAGATGGTCATAATCACAGCTGTCGGTCAAGCTGTTCCGCCCCTCAAGATCCAAGTCCAGGAAGAAGACTTTGATTCGATATCCTAGAGGCAGCTGGATGGTCCAGCGACACTTGATATTATTGGGGTAAGAGTGAGGATATTGGGGACTGGAGAAATTTCCTTTGACAGCCGTATATACCTCCTGACATGCACCTGGTTACAAGGGAAAAAGGAGTGGAATACAATGACAAGCAACTAAAACATTTTATTTTGTAGGGCTACCTACAATTTTTTCCTTCAAACTCCGTCTTCTTCCTTCACTTCAGTGGGATTTTTTATGGTTTTCACTCTATTCAGACTTGGTTTGAAGCTATGATACAAGTGATACAAATGATACACCATTAAATCAGTGGCCTAACCTGAAAAATAGTTGGAACTGAAAAACTGGGCCAATATGAGCAGCTGATGGTGGGAAGCAGCTGTCTAAGTCTGTGATTGTCAGAAGCCAATGTCAGGGGAACTTTATGCTGTAGACCAGGACAAGTGGAGGTTGCTGACGCAGATTAAAGCTATATGATCTCTATCACAGCCTGCAACAATTTCCATAATGACAACTCCCACTGTTTTTAGTTTGGTCTAACACTGTCAGCTCTTCAAGGTAGACCAGACTAGGAAACCAAAGCATGCATGCTAATACTAGTTTTATTATAAGGTTACAGTAACAGAATCTTGCAAGTGTGAATGCACTTCCCCTCCCCGCCCTCTCCCTTTATCTTCATGAGAACTAGGGAGGATCTTGTCTAAGACACTTACTCAGGTTACAGTTCTGGCCCAGACTCAGATTTCTTTTATCTGACCATTGTCTTTGTTGTGGCTCTTCCTCCTGCTCCTCAAGGTTATTCCTTCTTCCCATTGCAAACACATATGTTGACTGATCTATGTAATGCTTTCATATAAGAACTGCCACTCTGGGCAGGGTATCCATGGAGGGGAGCGGTGGTCATAAAAGTCATGAAGGGAGTTGTAACCATGCAATCAAAGCCCATCCCTTTTCTAACAGGGGTCACAGCCACCAGCTGTGCTACTTCATTTTATGTAAAGCATTTTCAACATTTTTTTCCTTAAAAGGGTTTCAAAATGGCTGACAATAATTAATTAAAATGTAAAACACAGTTTAAATGAACAAACCTCATAGCAACAGAGATTAAAATAAGAAAGAAAAACAACAACACGTACTGTAAAACTGCTTCAAATTCATTTAAAATATTTCACCAAAAGCCTCTCCCCAGAGAAGATTTTTTGCACTGTGGCAAAAGGCCATTAAAGTGATGGTAAGGTAGGCTTCCCTGGGGAGGAATTTTAAAATCTGCAGGACAGAAAATAACACAATCTCTCCACTGCCCCTTTGGCCTAAACCAGTTGGTAGTTCAGTTGCTGTGATGTTCAAAAAGGCCTCTCTTTAACATCTTTATACATAAGACAGGCTCATAACAGAGAAGATAGTCTGGAAGGCCATCAACAACAGCCTTTTCAATTAAGTCAAAGCAAATGCCCTGATAGTGTTATTTCCCACATGGCTGCATCTTCTGTGCACAGGAAAAGCTGTGCCTAAGCCCCACAATACAGTTCTCTTCTAGTCAAAGGGAAACTAGTTACAGCTTATCTTTCTGGTCAACCAAATTTCCTTAAGCAAGGAGCTGATATTTTTTTAAAAACAAAGGGGGAAAAACATAGTTTTTGGTTGCCCAAGGTTATATTCCTCCATTTCTGTGCTTCCTCACTCCCTCTCCCTCAAATGCTTGTATTGGCTGCTTCTCATAATTCTCATGTTCCTAGGATTTTTACTCATATTTTTTGTGGTCAACATCTCTTCTGAATATATATCTATGTGCCAAGCTATGTGCTAAGCTGATCTAAGGCTTAGGTTCTCCAGAATATAGTAAATAATGTGGGAGTACACTCAGAAAAAAATATTCAACATACAGAAATGACGATAACTTCATCAGATCTAAATGTACAGTAGAGTTAGTCATGTTGCCTTAGCTAACATTGGGGAGCCTACTATTAAGAACACATGGAAGACTTAAGATCCATTAAGAAGGCTGCAAAACTTTGAATAAAGGAGTATTAATCCATTTGTTGTCTTTAGAATGATGAGGCTCTCTCTGTCTCTTTCAATGTAAGCAGAATCTCATATTCTGAACAAAGAATAGTGGATATCTGTCGTCGCATTTATTTTCCAAGAGGATGCCAACAAATCCTTTCATACGTTGGTATCATAATACTCATAAATATCAATCTTTGTACCATACCTGAAAAGAAATATGCCTTGAAGCCTTTGTTAGCAATGTTAAAGTCTGATTTGAAAACAACCAGCAGTTCATATGCAGAAGATACCACCTCTGGAGGTTTCATGTTTCCACAGTGGTGACTGAGAAGTCCATCTCCCATTGTGGGCCCATCAAAGATGGCCACATAATCAAAATTACACTGCTCACTCTGTTCCATCTGGAAGTCAACAAAAATCAGTTTGATGACAGAACTGGAAGTTCCCTGGATGACCCAATGGCACTCAGCATTGTTGGGATAATTCTCTGGGTAATCAGGGCTTGTGATTGATCCAGACAATCCCGTGAGCACACCCCCACAAACATCTGGAAGCAAGAAAGTACAATGTATATTAAAATAAACACACAAAGATAGGAATAAGAAAAGTTCATATTTGAATTCCAGGTGCATTCCTCTGCACCACAGAAAATAATCGTAACAAGGCAAGGAAATACTGGAGTAGTACAGAAAACAAGGAGTGTTATGCATGGGAGGTAATAAACAGGAGTGGTTTGCATGTGTATGTGCATATAAAAATATAAATATATGAGGCTGAATGTGATAAATAGAATTAGTGAGGGGTAGGAACCAGACCCAATTAATTGTCCAGATTATGGACAGTCTGGAAGATTTAATATATTCAAGAAAGGATGTGCTAGTTGATAAAGTTTGAGAAGCACTGGATGATGAGGTGCTTAGTCACCATCATTTTACAATGAAAAATACTATTAACTAAAAATTTGTTATGGCATTCATGCAACACAAATAAAGACATACTATTAACCCAAAATGCAGCCTGGCTAAAATAAATTCCTATCTTCAGATTGTTTACTCTGGAGTAGTCTTAGTGAAGTCAGTAAGCTTTCTTTCTGCATCATTAATGGTTTGGAGATTACAGCCTGCGTTTCAACTGTTGGATCATTTCTGCTTTCAATTACAGCGAGGCAATAAGGAAGAAGCAATAAAACTATAGCAGGAGGGAGAATAACCCCTGAAATGCTTTCCTGCTGATTCTGGCCCCTGAGAGGAAAAGTATCCTATGTGACTCCTGGATCTTTGGATCAGGAAATACCTTTGAGATGAATGAATGAATGAATGAATGAATGAATGAATGAATGAATGAATGAATGAATATATATA